GGGTCCCAGGTTAGGCTCTGAATTCCCAGGTAGGAAATGAGACAGCAAATGGGTGTTTCTTAGTCACTGCCTGGGTGTATGTGGATATGCACCTTTCTGTGACAAGGGTAGAGGATGATTTAACATTGTTAGGCCCAAAATGTCATTAAGGATGGAGGACAGTCCAGCATTGATAGTTGGTGCAGATAAGGTTTGCTGACAGCTAGGAGGGAGAAGGCCACTGGCCCATGGAGGAAATGAGACGTGTGAATGCCTCATAAACAAGCAGCACAGACAGCAACATCGTGGGCTCGGATGGAAGGAAAATTATAAAACAGAGAAGGCAGAAGTTAAAAAAAAATACAAGGAGGAAAGTCTTCACTTAAGACTGAATGTGCTGTGTCTAATCACCTAGAAAGCTGAGAGGGCTGCTCGGTCTTAGTTATTCCTCTTGTACTAAAAAAAAAAATCACATTTTTATAATGTAGCTGCTGCTGGCATGGGGAGGGCAGAGCCTGGGGGCCAGTACTTGCTGTTACTGAGGGATATTAAGCACCATGGTGTCCTCGGGTGCTAAGCTGGAGGAAGAGACCAAAGGTGGAGAAAAGTCCGTCTAGTTGCTCACAGATGAGCATAGATTCCTCTGCAGCCCCTGTTTGATGTGCAAGGCGGGCAGTACTAGGCACATCCTGTCCTGTACAGGAGCCCCCATCTCAGACGTGCCTCCCTCAAAGTCCCCATGTCCACCAAGTTGCAAAGCAATCACATTCTTTCTTAGTGGGGCTGCTTGGAAGAATCCTAACCCACAACTGTCAGAAAGGATGTGGGTGTGGACAGCATCGTCCAACAGGGGGCAGCACCACACAAATTACTGTTTTCAATGAACAAGTACAGCAAGGTCATCGATCTGATTTCCAGTATCAATGAACAATTAGTCTTCAGTGCCACAGGAGTGGGTGGCTGCATCATACGGTTTATTTTAGAATCCTAGCTCAGTTGTAAGCCATAACTAGTTAAAGCTTTCTCCTGTGTGGGTATTCAGAAGTATGTATCTGTTCCCATGTGTATGGCATTCAGTATGGCTTTGAATCCTTCCCTTTCATTGGCCCTTATTGCAACCAGATAAAATGCACATTATATACGGCCTCATCACAGAGCATTGTAGATGGACATTTTGCTTCAACAAAGTATTTCTGGGAACAGAGCTAATGAGATTTCAACAGAACTGTAAAACAACCTCAGCTCAATCAAGCAGCTTATGGTGTGGTCACCTTAACTCAGGTTCCTAGGAAAGAGCTTGTAAGGGTTAATGATGATGGGGCTGAAGAGATGGCTTGGCAGCATAGAGCCAGGTTTGGTTCCCAGCACCCATGTTGGGCTGCCTACAACAGCCTGTAACTCCAACTCCAGGGCATCTAACGCCCTCTTCTGGACTCTGCAGGCATCTGCATTCATGTGCATATATAATCATACATACATACAATTAAAATTAATAAAAGTCTTTTTCAAATGACTGTTTCAATAATTCCTTCAGTTATTCTTAGTTTCTTTCCCTCTTGCTTTCATGAGGTGTGAGTGTGTCTATGCTGCTATAGAATTTATTTTCTGTTAAGTTAATTTTCCATAAATTGACTTGTGTTTCTGACGAGAATGCTTTTGGCACTTTTCTATAAAGAAGATCAAAGTCATATTACACTGAGAGTCTGAAGGAACATGGAGGGAGAAATCGTCCAGTTGAATTTATCTCTGCTAATAGTGTGCTCCTAATAAAGTTCTCACAGGTCAGTGCTGGGATGATTGGCATGCACCACCACGTGTGGCTTGCATGACATTCTGTTTGTTTTAAGATAGGGTCTCAAATAGCCCTGGCTGACCTCAAACTTACTATGGATCCAAGGATGACCTTGAACTTTTTATTTTTTTTTAATTTATCTTTATTTTATGTATATGAGTGTTTTGCCGGGATGTATGCAAGTGTACCACATGCACGCAGTGCTCACGGAGGCCAGATGGAACTGGAGCCACAGACAGTTGTGAGGTTTTTAAGACAGGGTCTCAAATAGCCCTGGCTGACCTCAAACTTACTATGGATCCAAGGATGACCTTGAACTTTTTATTTTTTTTTAATTTATCTTTATTTTATGTATATGAGTGTTTTGCCGGGATGTATGCAAGTGTACCACATGCACGCAGTGCTCACGGAGGCCAGATGGAACTGGAGCCACAGACAGTTGTGAGCCAACATGTGGGTGCTGGGAACCAAACCTGTGTCCTCTGCAAGAGCAGCCCGTGCTAGGATTAGAGGCATGTGCCATCATGCCAGTTTTACAGGTACTGGGGATAGAACTCAGGACTTTGTGCATGCTAGGTAAACACTCCACCAAGGTACTTCTCAGGTCTTTGCTTGACATCGCAATCCAACTCTAGAACCGCACTTTCAGCCAACATGTGTAATCCTGTTTGATAGACTAATCACCGGGAATCATGGGGTGTCTGTGGAGAACTCATCACATGTTCCGGGTTTAAAAATCAGGAACATTAGGAAGAGTTTGACATTTTAATTATTTTTGCTGCTGTGGCCTCATGGGAGGCAGCTGGAAGTCACTTACTCCAATTCTCTGAGTCTGTCTGGCCCATGGCTTCCGCTGAGCTGGGGATGTGGGTGGAAAGGCAGGCACTAGCTCAGTCCCCTCCCTCCTCGGGCCTTTGCCAGTCCAGGCGGAAAGACCTCAGGAAGCTTTGGTTACCATCCTGTCACCACAGACTGCTGGCTGGGGGTGGAGTCCTACTTCCTGCTTTTCTCTGAGATGGGAGGTCCTGCTTTTCTCTGAGATGGGAGGGTCTGAGCAGACCGAGGAAAGAGAGCCGAATGGGGCTTCCCCAACTGCAGCTCCTCTGGAGTAGAAACTCACAGATTGGGCTGCAATAACAAGTCTGTGGGGGGGGGATGTGGCGGGGGGGGGGGGTC